ATTAATATATTTTATAAAAGTTAAGCTTTTAATAAAATTTTTTAACTTAATTTATTTTCTACATTTTAGTGGGAGTAAAATTTGTTATATTATTTTAAATAAACGGTGAAAATATAAATTTTACAGATTATCTTTTTTAAACTTAAAGATCATAGAATATGCAAGTACTTGTTTGATCAAAATGTGTACTTGTTTTATTAAAAAATGAAGGGGAATATCCAAAATTGTTTTATTTTACTATTAGGCTATGGTACTTGTTGCAAACTTGTTAGAAAAGGAGTTTTCTAAACAACAAGTTTACCTTGCTAACCTGCAGAATCTGAAAATCGCAGCTTTTTATTTTTTTCAAACGTTTTTTATTTAACAATTCACATCTGCAAAAAAAAAAAGAAAAATTTATCGTAGGTTACCCTATGTATCAGATAGGGTTAAGATTTTTTTTTTAATTAAACACATATTGTTATATAGGTTTTTTTCTGGATTCTTTGCTTTTGCTTTACTAATGTGGAATCAGTCAGGCATATGAAAAAGTATTGCCATCAAATTTAAAAAGACAAACATTTTTATTCCTTCTCCTACATACCGTTGTAAATTCGCTTATTTTTACGTTTTTAAAACATTTGTTTACAGACTTAAAATAAAAATATATTTAAAAAATGTCTAAAATTTATGAAAAGAAGATAATTTATAAATTATTTTTTTTTGATAATATTTTACAACAGTACAACATTAAAGTGACTTGCAGTTGAATTGTCAAGGAATATAGCATGTTCACTAAGTTGTGTAAGTGTTAAACTACATGGGTAAGTCAGCCATTTCAACTTCTCTCCATATTTGCTATATACTTTTATATCAATACCCATGAACGAGGCACACCCAACTATTTCTGCATCAGTTGCCCAAGTTGTGTTATCACTCATACCACTTTCATTTAGATACGTTATTATTGATTGATTCATATATAAAGTCATTTCATTATTAATATGAGCACACATATGTTTAACAACTTTTTCTCTTATAATTTCATAACTGCATTCACTGCCTGTAATGATATACGATATTGCCCTCAAAAAGCAATTACCATCGCCTATGGTTTTGTGAATTAGTTTCGGACGCGAAAGTAGATTAATATCTGCAATAAAAATATTTTTGGTAATACCAATTCCAAATTTTTCAGAAATAGAAGTTCTCATTTCAATAGTTGCATATTTTCCGATCTTATCATTAGAAATTTGCATATTAATTTCATCAAATGTGATTTCTTGTTCATCATTAGTTATTTTTTCATTATATAAACATAACTTTGTCAAGTTGTACTTTGTTTTCAAAATTTGACCCTTTAGATTTTTCAAAGAGCAGTTATTTGTGCTAGAAATAGAAGTTACAATGTATGGTCCAGTCCAAGGCTTTACAAGTTTACCACCTTTTCTATTATCACGTCTGCTATTTCTTAGTAACACTTTTTTATATGCTAATTTCATTATTTGGTGCAATTCTCTTGTCGTAATCATGTTTTTGTCTTTTTTGAGATTTTTCAATATTTTTATAAGCATCGTCAAAAATTTTATTCTTCATTTTATTCATTGCATGAAAGGTATCTGAAACTATTTTTTTGTTAGAGAAATCATCATTGCTAAGAGCGTTACTATCATTAAAGTCAATTAAATTGCAATCTATATCAATAGGAAGAACTGCTTCCCTTTGGTAAAGCAATGCAAACGGTGAAAACCCAGTAGATTTGTGCTTTCTAACTCTTAAAGAAAACAAAACACTATCAATAATGTATGGCCATTCCAAAGCAGCCTCATCAAGCACTTCTACTAATATACGTTTAATTGTTTGATTTTGTTTCTCTACTAATCCATTAGCTTGAGGATGATATGCACTTGTAATTCTTTGAATTGTTCCTGTTTTTGAGTAAAGTTCTTTAGAAATTTCATTTACAAACTCACGATCTTGGTCATTTATTTGAATTTCAAAACAGCCATGTCGACAAATCTGTTTATACAAAAAAAAAAGCCACAGCTTTAGCAGTTTTATCGGTAAGTGCTTCTGCTTCAACCCATTTACTGAAGTAGTCCATTAATACAACCAGATATTTGCAACCGTTAACTTCTGGTAGCTGTGTTAAATCGATTCCTACCTGCTTCATATTGCCTTTAGGAATTGAAATATTTTGCAGCAATGGTTTCGACTGAAGTTTTCTGTTCTTTGACTTTTGGCATTGGTCACATTTGGAAACATAAGTTGTAATATCTTTTATCATTCCATATTAGAAAAATCTACTTTGAATGTGATAGGTTGTGTTATTAATACCTGTATGACCAGATAAAGCTTTAGACTCAACAGAGACATCGTTTCCTTCATGAACAAACTTTATTATGCTTTGTTGTTCATCTCTACTCCAAATAACTTTTCTCTATAAAAAAAAGAAGCTGTAAACCATCAGTATAATGAGAATCAAAACTAAATTAATTTTCATTATTTATTAAATAAATTATTTGTAAATATTCGTGTTTATTTAGTGACTAGATTCTAGTTGCAAAATGGCAAAACTATTAAAACATTTTGAAATAATAGCATACCTTTGCATTATTATTAACTATAAATGGCTTAGTTTGTCTTCTAAAATTGGCTTTATCGCCTTTATTTAAAACTTCTTTTGGATATATTTGGTATTTTAAGTAACTAAAAATGTCTGCAAATCTAGAGTGCATGTTTTATTGATATGCAATTCCGCTAATAACAACTTGAGAGTAAAAATAAAATAGTGAGAGTAAAAATCTCATATGCTTTTTTTTACTCCGCGGTAAAAACTTCATGCGATATTTTTACTGGGGAGTAGTGTTCGGCACAAATTCAAATAGTTTGATCAAATATGCGTCAAATGTTTGAAATGGCCAAATTCAAATCTTCCTATTTTGAATTTAGATCAAATTCAAATCTTTCCAAGATTTGATGTATATTTGAACGTTATTTAACTTATTTCATTTATTAATTTTAGTTATCTGAATCTATAAATTTTATTCATATTACAGCATTTGTTACTATTTCTCACACATTACAGCTTCTTTTATTCTTTTTAATCCAACCAAGACTTCAAGCACTGGCAAGCTTGAATGGTATCTGCAGAGAGAAGATTTCTTTTGTCAGTAATAAGATTTTTTCCTAATGAGAAGAGCCATTCCGGAAACCACTGCAAAGACCCCGGAATAAAGTGATATATATGTTTGCAGGCCTGTAAAATTTGGCGTTTTTTTTTCAAACGCAAAAATTGAGAACAAAGTGAATATTTGAAAATCAAATCCAAATCCTCCAGATATTTGTCAAATCAAATTCAAATCTATCCCCTCAAAGAACAGTTCAAATTCAAATCTTTAAAGGTTTGACGTATATTTGATTTTGCCGAACACTACTGGGGAGTAAAAAAAACACGGGAGTAAAAATCTCATACTACACCGGAACATATATTTGGTTTTGTATCAAAAATGGTGCCTATTTTCAACTATTTTTAAAATAAGCGTATGCATATAAGCTAAATGATTCAATAAAAATGCATTGCAAGATGCAAATTTATTGTGAAAGTAACTCAAACTATTTTTTTTTACAAAGTTGTTGACATCTTAACCAGAGTTTTTAGTCCTTGATCTCTGCATTGTCCTAGGTCTTGGTCATATATCAAGACAAGATTATCGATATACTATTTGCCTTTCAACATGTTGCCTTGAAACTTTTAGTTTTTGCCTTCCATCTTTTTTATTGAATTCAAAGTATTTCTTCGAATATAATTTCATATCTTTATTCATTGAGTAAAAACTTGTGGTAATTTCATGCAACCAATGAAATTCCGATCCCACTCGTGTGGGATCAATCACGAGTAGACCAGATGGTGGGCAATTATTTAAAAACAATTATTTGACCATCACAAATTTCAAGTTATTTTTAACAATATTTAAAATTTGTATAAATAGAATAGAAATTTAGTTATTAGTGTATTATTATTTTAAAAAGAAGTTATATATGTGTGTTTAAAAACGTAATCTTAAAATATAACATTACAAAGACAGTAGTATTCTTATTAAGATCAGTTTTAATTTGAATTAACAAGAAGTATAATTCAAGGTAACATTTAACTTGCGTTAAGAAAGTTTAATTTTCATTGTTTAGTAGTTTTTATTTAATTATATTCATTGCAAGCATTGCTATTAATGCATTTTTAATAAACTTATAGTAGTTTTATTTATAAAATTCAACTTTGAACTAATAAGCAGAGTTGTTTATCATTGCCCTTGCCAACAGTGATAATAATAATGAAAATAATAATTATTATTATAATAATTATAATAATAGTAATAACAATAACAACAATAACAATTGTTAATATTATTATCATTATTATCATCTTTGTTATTATTATTTGTATTAATATTATTAATGATATTATTATTGGTATATATTGTTATATATGAGCTTTGTCATATATTTTATTTATATGTCATATATATTTTATTATATTAGCTTTGTCTTATCTTGTTATTTTAATTTGTGAACATTACCATTAGTATTTTCCTCATAAATATTCTGTATTTACTTAATATTAGTTAATTTACTGTTTGTGAATAATTGTGAAAGTAAGGCCTTTATTCAGAATATATATTATTGATTGACTGTATTGATATGACTGTACCTAATATCTTTGCCACAATGTACTACAATTATTGACATTTAAAAATAAAAATAAACAATAGTGTTGAAAGATCAATGTTATTAAATAACAAAATTATCACATTGCATGGAAAAGTAAAAAAAAGTAAAAGTACCATCTGAAAGTTTCTGTTCTCTTGGCTACCAGTTTTTGGCAATTTATTAAATTATTTAGTAAGCCCATAACATTATTAAATAATTTTAAGCCCATAACATTTATAGCAATTATGAAGTTTAACCTTTAATTTTATTATTAACTATTTCTCTTCTTTTTGTTGTTATTGTTGCAAGATTCAATGTACTTATCCTTTTTAGTAGATAAAACTTTAATTTTACAATGTCTCAGCATTCAGAAAAAGAGTGTATTGACGCAAGCACAACAAATATTGGTCTTTGCACATCTCCTTTAAATAAATTTGTATGGAATATGGCTAACACAAGAGTATTATTAGATTTATGGAAAGATAAGCATGTAATGTAAGCATAAACATCTGCAAGAAGAAACACAAATATTTACAAACAAATGGCAGCTGAATTTTCAAACACATTTAATATCATACCTCCGTTAACTGGATATCAAATTCAATCTAAAATTAGTAATTTGAGGAAGCAATTTAGGTATGTACATATTCTACATTTAGTGTTTGATACCTTACTGAAATACTGAAAGTATTTTACAAAACTAACCATGTGTAATAATATCTAATTGCAATTTAGTTTGTAACTGAGTGTTATATTAAAAATTACTTAAATCTTATTCAGTATTAAAGATTTACAGCTCGTTGATAATTATTTTGTTAATAATTCGTTATTTTATTATTCGTTAATAATTCTTTAATTTTGTTAATAATTATTTCGTTAATAATAATTTGTCCATTTAAAGTTATTTGATTAATGTTATACGGTGTTAATGATGTACTTATATTTATGTATATTTTTCATAGACGAGAAAAACTTAAGGTTGGTTCATCGAGAGGAGCTTTTAGTAAATGGTGGCCTTACGATATTGTTGCCAAAATAATAGGTGGTGAAGCTTCCCTTGATAATGACCTTTTATCTCAAAATCAAAACTTTTCTACTCAAGATTTTCAAGATAGTCAGGTAAGTTTAGTATTATTTATTGTTGTATATTTTAAAGTGCTATATATTTTTTAAAGTAATATAAACAAGCGTCTTAACTATTTCTACAAAATAAGGTTTAAGAGGTTCTTAGTTTTGCAACATTTGGGAGACTTAAAACATAAAGATCAAAAACATATAATATAAAGTTTTTGAATTATAAAAGGGATCTTTTAATATTGGCTAGATCAATTTGTAAAATGCTATTGTCTAAATAGATCCTTTGTGTTTAGGGAAGGAAGGGAGTAAAATGACTTCAAGTCAAGTCTTTCAAAGTCAAGAGATAAATTTTGATTGAAACATGATTTATAATCATTTCTCAAATCTGTAATTTTTTTAATGTATGTATTTTATTTACAGATTGCCAGAATGGAAGATAGCAAGGGGACTGTCAGTATTTTAAATATTGAAGCTTTGGATGATACAAGTGATGTGCAATCAATTTTCACAATTATTGATGAGGAACTAACTCAACCTACATCTGGCTGCAATAAACGAAGGAACTCTGATGAAAAAATTTTGAATAAAATAGCAAAAACTGAACCGGTGAGAAAAAATAAAAAAACAAATTTTTCATCTGAATATTTAAAAATAGCAAATAGAAATCTAGATGTTCAAATCCGTTCACAAGAGCTACGAATCAGAGAGGTTGTTGCTTTAGAGCGTATTTGCGATGCAATTGAAAATGCATCTAAAGCCCAAGTAGATGTGTCTAAAGCCCAAGTAGAATATTATAAATTTTTAATAAAAAAATAAGGTGTTCTATTAGTCAAGATATCTTTTTAGTAATTATGTTAAAGTTGAAAGGTCAGTATTTTTTTAACAGTATACCTTGTTTACAATTCTATGCAATATATATTTCATAAGGTTTTTCAATGTTTTAACTAAAGAGATGGTTAGTGAAATATTGTACAAGCTTGTAGATGAAGCTCTAGTTATATATATTTTTTCATGTTACCATATTACTATTATCAAAGGAATTTTTACTTTTTTTTTTTTTTCAGCCAATCGTTATCGCAATAATTTAGACCTTCCTATATTTATGAACGGTAATGTACTCGATGAGTCTCCTACCCTTCATCTTCTAGGATTAACTCTTCTGATCTTTCTTGAAAACCTTATATCAAATCTGTTGCAAAATTAGCATCTGCTAAAGTCGCTCCTCTTTATCGAGCTCGTCACTTTCTTACTCTAGATTCTATTCTCTATCTCTATAAATCTTAAATCCGGCCTTGTATGGAATACTGTTGCCATATCTGGGGTGGATCTTTTAATGATGCTCTTTCTCTTTTAGACAAGGTACAAAAATGCATTGTAAACATAGTTGGACCAAACTCTTGCAACCAACCTTCAACCTCTGTCACATCCTTGTAATGTTGCTTCTCTTTCTCTTTTCTACAAATACTATAACGGGCACTGCTCTAAAGAGCTAGCGTCTCTTGTGCCATCTACAAAAATTCATTCTCGTGTTACTCGTCATTCAATTAAGTCTCATCCTTTTTCTGTTACTGTTCCTAAGTGCTCCAAAAACTCTTATTCGTCTAGTTTTTTTCCTTGAACATCAGTTCTTTGGAATTCGCTTCCTTCATCTTGCTTTCCTGATTCATATACTTTGCAATCTTTTAAATCATCTGTCAATCGTTATCTTGCTCTACAATCTTCGTCTTTTCTCTTCCAGTAACTTCTAACACTAATAAGTGGTTGCTTGAAGCCTTGTTGAAAGCGAAGATGTTGAAAAAAAAAAAAAAAAAATTAAAAAAAAAATATTTTGTGATTTCAAGCATTAAAATGCATATCTGGTGGTATTTTTTAAATTTGTCATGTTATTTTATAAATACCTTTTTTTGCATCTCTATGCTATATATATTTAGTATTTTTACCAAATAATTTTTTTTTGCGATATGAAGCAAGCCTGTAGATAAATTATAGTGATATGTTTTTTGCCAACGTGTTTTGTTTTTAATTTATACAAATTGCATTACATGTTCCATTTTTGTTTTTGTTAACAGATCATGCTGTATCAATTCTAACAAAATGGTTTTTAAAAATGTGCTTTAATTTCCCTTGAATTGTAGTATAATAAGTATTATATTTATTTAATATATTTATATAGTTTTAATAGCTTTTTAGGGAGACATCTGTAAAGGAAAAAGCTATTATTTTTAAAAATGTGCTTTAATTTCCCTTGAATTGTAGTATAATAAGTATTATATTTATTTAATATATTTATATAGTTTTAATAGCTTTTTAGGGAGACATCTGTAAAGGAAAAAGCTATTGGAAAAACATGGAAAGCATTTTGGATGTACTTCGATCAAGAAGTAGAACATTAATCAATGATGAATCAATCACCCACCCATTTTCATATTTAGATTTAGCTTCCTTTAAGTTAAATCAACAAGGGTATCTGATTGAAAGAAAAGTTTAGGTTAGGCCAAAAAGTTCTCAATGGTTTAATGAGATTTTTACTCAAATGGAGGAATGTGAATTTAAAGAGCATTTTCGAGTAAATCGTAACACATTTAATTTCCTAGTTAATAAATTGCACCCACATTTAGGCAAAACTACCACAACTATGCGAGAACCTATTTCAGTAGTAAAACGTGTTGCAGTTGTATTACATTATTTAGCTTCATGTGAAGAGTATTGTGTTGTGTCTAGCCTTTTTGGCATAGGAAAGTCAACAGTAAATTTAATTGTTCATGAATTTATTAATGCTGTTAATGACATTTTGCTCCCTAAATATGTTAAATTTCCATTGTCAGTGGAAAATTTAAATAAACATAGTAGAGATTTCGAAGCTATTCTTGGTTTTCCACAATGCGTTGGAGCTGTTGATGGATGATACATCCCTATTTCAGCCCCTAAAGATCAAGCAATTTCTTATTATAATTATGAAAGGTGGTTTTCCATTGTACTTTTTGCCGTTGTAGACTGTCGATACCGTTTCATTTATACAAGTGTTGGATCCCCTGGTAGAAATAATGACAGCTATATTTTGCAGAATTCTTCTTTGAATGCCAATTTAGAATCAAATCTATTTGATAAATGTTGTAAAGAGCTGGGCAATTCTCTTGTTCCGCTATGTTTCATAGGTGATTCAGCATTTCCTTTAACGCGTCATTTGTTAAAAAATTATCCTTAAAATTTGGAGCTCAGTGAAATTCAAAAAAATTTCAATAAAATACTTTGCGGGGCTAGAAGAGTAGTTGAGAATGCTTTTGGGTGCGTTAAAGCTCGATTCCGTGTAATTTGAAAACGTATGGAATGCGATATTAACTTTGCTACAAGAATTGTTAATGCTTGCGTCACTCTTCACAACATTTGTGAATATTATGACGATATTATTATAATAGAATGGCTTATGCATCATCATGATGACAGTCTAGCTCAACCCAATACAGTTTCTACAACTGGGAACAATGGACCAGGAAAAAATGTTCGTGACTCAATTGCTAAATACCTTTATGAAAGGGACAAGTAAAGTAGTAATAATATTATTTATTATTTAAAGCTTTAGCGGTAATATGGTTATGTATTTAGTAGTTTTGAGCTAAACTTACTTTCCTTGAGGTTATCAAATGTGTCTAAATAAATAAATATTAAATATGTATGAACACAAAATGAGATTAGTTTTAACTGGTCGTGGGTAACTTATTAATGTATAATATGTTTATTCGGTACTATACCACTGATGAACTACTATTCTGTGTCGTCAAAAGCGACTAAAGGAGATATGACCTATCTGTAAAAGCCAAGAAACAGGATAACAAAATTCCAGCGTCATCTTTTGTATGGCGGGTATTTTGGGTTGGGTTTCTATTGTCTAACTCTGAGCTAGGTGAACCCTCAGCTTTGTTTGCATTTAGTTTTACCTCTCATAAATGAATAAATATTACAAATTAATAAATTATATTAACAATGTGTATTTGAGAAACTGTTTTTCACTAATTTTTATTCGAGTTTTACTTACCGTTTTTTTACTCGTTTTTTCTTTTATGTACCGTCAAGCCAATTTTACATGTGAACGCTACAAGTAATATTTTGTGGAACATTTTGTTCCAGGAACATTTGTTCCGGAATAATGTTCCGCCGAACATCGCTTGTGTGAACATGGTATAAGGACTTCTGGGAGCACCTAAATACATACAAAAAAAAAAAAAAAATGGCGCGACACTGATAGATCGCGACTTTTCTCATGAAGAGTATGAAATTGCTTTTTCTTTTTTAAGAAAGAATAAATCACCTGGTTTCGATGACGTTTCTAGCAATATAGTTATATAACTATATTGTTGTAAGTTATATAACTATATATAATAATTATTTCAAACAAAAAATACATCTCCAAACCTTTGTTCCATATTATAGAACTTTAAGAAAAGAAGGAATTTTTCCTGAAGCATTTAAGTTAGCAAAAGTATGTCCAGTTAACAAAAATAATGATTAATCTGAAATCTCAGTATTTTCTGTATTTTCAAAAAAGCATTGTAATTTATAATAAAATCTTTAACCATTTTAATGAAAATAATTTATTTTACACAAAACAGTTTGGTTTTCGGGAAAAAACATTCAACAGAACACGCAATAATTGAAATAGTAGACCAAATTACTAAAGGGTTTGAAAATAATAGCTTTACTCTAGCATTATTTATTGACCTATCAAAAGCATTTGATACGGTTGATCACCTCATTTTTTTAGAAAAAATAAAACATTACGTAGTGATAAGTAAAACATACGATTGGCTAAAAAGCTAGCTCGCTGAAAGAAAACAATATATTATTAGTAAAGAATAAGGACAATTTAAAGTTTTATGTGGAGTTCCACAAGGGTCAATTCTTGGTCAGTTACTTTTCTTGATTTATGTAAATTATTCAAATAACGCATCAGCAAAGCTTAACGCAATAATGTTTGCTGACGACACAAATCTCTTTCTTTTATTAATCAACTGTATTCTGACATGAACTTTGAATTAAAGAATGCCAATAGATGGTTTAAGGCTAATAACCTTTCACTCAATATAGACAAAACAAAATCTACTTTATTTCATAAAAAATCACAAGATTAAAAACTTCCTTTAAAATTACTCGGTTTGATGTTAAATGATGCACAAAATAATAAAAACGATTCAATAAAATTATTCGGAATTCTTATAGTATAGATTGCAGCTGTAACTAACTAATACATAGCTACTATACTTTATTTTTTCCTGATAACTATAAAAAATACCTTCACGTAACAATAAAAGATACCGTTTGGTAACAATAAAAGAAACTCCCTGCTCATAAATATTGAATGAGAGAGCGCATTTAATGTTACTTTATTGTAATTAAACTATTTAAGTGATTGCTTCAAGACTTATTTAAATGTCTTAAAATGACTGGCCAAACAAATCTGCTGTTAAGTCTGAACCTATGTTATGATAATATGGTGTTTGTATTTACCATTTGAAATAAATGTGATTATTTTCTGCTTTACAAGCAAAATGGCTATGAGTATGAATGTAAATTGAAATATGAAAATGAATATAAATTAATCTTATGTTTATTTAGCTTGCTATTTAGGGAGTTTTAAAGTCTAGGAAACAAACCAACTTGCTTTCCTTTTTTTTACTGCTTTTATTCATTTAAGTAACTTCATTGGCCTAAAGACATTTTATAATCGACAAGAGGACAATGGATAAGATGAATAGCATTTAAAAGATTTTTTCGCATTTGAGTATTGCAATACTAAAATACTTAAAATCAATGATATAACATGTTTCTCTTAAAACCTTATGGTAAAAGTCAGAAAAAACAAAAACATCTTAACCCGAGAAGTCAAACCAACAAGTATTATATTTAAATTTAAAGTATTAGATTCTATATAAATTTATGTATGATGGCGTATTTACCTCATTGCAATACCACTTTGTAAACAACATATGTTGGTACGGCATCCTTAGCATTGCCATAAAACATGAGACTTTGATTTCCAAAAATTAATGACACGTTTATGATGTTTACGTTGGAACAAAGCTAAGGTTAACAGTTTTATCATAATTCCATGTATTCTCTGATGAATAACAATTTTTTTTGATAAATACATAAAATAGCCATCAAACGAAATAAAGCGAAAATAGTTTGAACTTATTTACGCTCTCTTGTGCTTCATGTTGCTTGCGCTTCAAGTTGCATCTTAATGTGAGATTTTTATGCCTTTTCACAACAAAATTGCAATTAATAGTCACATCTAATAAAATTAATTTGATTATAAGATTCTTTTATCGTAACATAACTATGCACCGTAAATTATAAGCATACAAAGAAAAACTAAGTTCAGATACCTTTAAACCATAAATATTTTCTCATGTAAAGATTGACTATTAACCATGCAGTTTTTTTTATTATTATTTAATTTTAAATATCGATTAGTCCGAGTAGTTTTAATATTGACGCATAGATCTTGAAATGTATAGGTTTTTTTATATATATATGGGCAATTCCACGCTCAAGTGAGTTATTTTGATTCGAGGTGTAGTGATAAGGCAAATACTGTCTTTTTTTAGCCCGGTCATGTAGATTTTATTTATATAACACAGCATTGTATTCTTTTTTTTAATGACAAATAAAAATGATAAATAAATAATTGATCAAATGAATAAATATGGTAGCTAAACTACATTTTGATAAAAGTGTAGAACTGTCCCCGTAAGTAAAGATAACTAATCTGATTTAATATATATAAATAAATAGCTATTATAAATTTTTGAATAATTTCACGCAGAATAATAACTACTTAATTTAATTTAAAATGTGAGTTTATGTAGGTTAAATATTTGGCTTGAATTATTCAACTGAAAACAACAGATTTTTTTCAATTATTATTATTATTTTAGGTGCCACAAGAAATCCTTACGGTCTTAACACAGAGCTCCGCGGAAAAGGATTTTGAAAGGAAGTTTAAAGAAGGACCTTACCGGTGTATTAAACTTGCCCAGAGGTGGCGTCGAACCACGGATCTCTAGTTTCTGAGGCAAGCGTGCTTGCCTCAGCAACTAGAGAAACTAGAGATCCGTGGGATGAGTCATAAATATAAAAATATTTAACCTGTGCGGCCGCGACGCATTGGTTAAAGCGCTTGCTATAGAAGCAATAGATCCTATTCGCGTCACGGTAAGGAAGCAAGCGTGAACTTCCTGGTTAAATGCACATCCGCGGTGCTCTGTGACAAGACCGATAAGTCTTTTTGGGGGAACCTTAATAAAAAAAGAAAAAAAAATCTGTTAAAATAAAAAAATACATATCTAAAAATGCGGTATTACAAAAATCAAAATGTCCCGTAAGTAACGGTGGAATTACCGATGTAGGCAGCTATGTTTTTTTCTTTTTAGCAGTTATTAAAGTGCTCCCAGAAGTCCTTACGGTCTTATGACAGAGAACCGCAGAATAGTATTTAATTAGGAAGTTTATGCCTCCTTCCTTCCTACCTCAGGCCTTCTGGTTGTGAGCCAGAAATCTAACCACTGCGCTACAGCCGTGTTAAAGTTTACGGACGTGTTCAAATCAAAAACACAAAAACTTAACTTTCTTTACTCATTTCATTGTTCTTTATTACAAAATATTTATTTGTAATGTATTATTATATTAGATAATCTGTTTGACTGATTTTATGCAAATTTTATATTTTTTAGAGTTGAAGCGCACTTTATTAAAGTTAATTTAAATTTATTATTTATTTATATTATTAGAAAATTTCTTTATTAGAGTTAAAGCGCACTGCAGAGGATGACTTTTACCTGGGCCAATTTATATATTGTGACATCTATTTTCTTTCCATAATTGCAAAACCGTTAAAAATCAATGGACTTCCATTAACATGATTATCCTGTAAACATTAAAAGGAAAACTAAAGAGTATTGATTCCAAATTAATTTGATACATCTTCAAATGCAGTTGGCAATGTCAATGTAAAAGTACATACCGTTTTATGAAAACGGATTTTAGGCGCTATTTTTAAAGTGTTATTTGCGACAAAATAAAAAAATATTCTAAATATAATTGTCAAATATATATATATATATATATATATATATATATATATATATATATATATATATATATATATATATATATATATATATATATACTAAGTGGTCGTCTGCGTGACAATTTATGGACGACCGCTAAATCAATAATATAACAAATAAAAAAACTTTTTATAAAACCACGTTTTTGTAATGAACTAAAAAGTAGAAAATAATTTTCTCTTGTGGCTATAGAAATTTTTGAAAATTAAGTCGATAGTAAGTGACATGAAAACTTTTGATTACGAACTCTTAATAATTACGATAATATTTGTAAAATTTTAAACCAAAAACGTGGTGCGCATCTTGTCACTTTAAATGATCATCATCGTCCTTAATTACTTTAACTATTGCTTCCTTCTTCTGTTCTTTTTTTTTCATTAAATGCGCACCACGTTTTTCGTTTAAAATTTTACAAATATTATCGTAATTATTAAGAGTTCATAATCAAAAGTTTTCATGTCACTTACTATCGACTCAATTAATTTTCAAAAATTTCTATAGCCACAAGAGAAAATTATTTTCTACTTTTTAGTTCATTACAAAAACGTGGTTTTATAAAAAGTTTTTTTTTTTGGTATATTATTTTCTTCTTTTTAGTTTTTGATGGGTGGAATTTTATATTTTGTAAACAACTGATTTTGTTTTTATGCTGCGGTCCATTTAAAATCACAGCGACAGTTAAATTTGGTTTTTTTGTTCGAAAATTTTTTATTTAAAGCGACGCGTCAAATTGCGGCGACGCCTCCAAAAGTTTCGCCATAATAAATTTTATTTTGCTGAAATTGTTCAAGAAACTCGGCAAATCATGGTAAAAGAAGTATAATATTGCATTGTCATCGGGTTCTGAGCAATAGTAAAAGTTTCAGAGCTCTAGCTAATCGAAAAGTGGGTTAAAATTGAGTTGCAAAATTCCACCCGGACAAACAAACAAAAAAGCGAGCTAATAAAAACATGGTAAAAATGTAGCGACATGCAGTACAACAGTGGTCAAGAATTTTTTTTCTCGTGGTCAAAAGTACTAAAAAAAATCTAAGCATTTTTTTATCATATACTCAAAACTGTAGCCTATTATTTCTTAGACATATAAAAAACATCATATCTTATATTAAAAAAAAAATTCTTAACTTCTTTAATAAAACAAATATCTTAACTTTAATTGGGTTTTTCTTTAAAACGCCTTAAAAGTTCTTATAAAACGTTTAAAAAGTAATCAAATTTGAACCCAAAAATATATCATAAAAGATACGCGGTCGCACCTGTTATTTTTCTTGAACAATTAATAAACTATCGTTTAGTAAACGCAAAAAATATACTATGAAACAATTTTTTGGAAGTATTTAAAAAAAGAGTTCAAATTTTGAAAAAATATCTTTATATTATATATAGTATGAATAAACTCAATATAGTTAATCACATATTTTTTATTATATTATTAATATGTTTAGTATGAAACTTTTTAAAAAATTTATGAAACTTTTGAGGACAACTGTTTTTGAAAAACATTTTTATAGCCATTTATGAAAGGTTGTAGCAAGCTTGCCTTTATATCTACTAATCAAACTGAGTTTTGATTGAAGGACCTATGTTGCAAAAAAAAAAAACAAAAAAAAAAACGAATTTTTTATTTAAACAATTATTAGCCATTTTGAAACTTTAAAAAAATCTTGTTTAGTCAAAGTCAATCCCAGGCCTAAAACCATTCTTGGTGAGAGATTTCAATTAGAAAACTATTAATTTAAAGTGTTTAATGGCAAAAACAGATTCCCGCCAAAAAACAAAAACTATCCACTTTAAATTATTTGATTTTACTAACCTTTATACATAATAAATTTGGGAATATTTTAGCTGAAAAACGCAAACGAAGGTTGTTTAAAATTAATTAAGTGATTATCTTAAAAATTAATAAATTATAAAACTATTACAACAGGGGAAATAGATTTTAAAATTATAAAAAGACATTTACAAATGTTAAGAATGAAAAACGCACATTAAACCTCTGCGTAATATTGAACTTTTTTTTTCTGTGCAGTTCAAAAGAAAAAACATAAAAAAACTAAAAATGAAGGCAACGTTAATATAAGCGGCAAAAAACATACTTTATAATACTTTAGTGTATGAAGTTAAAAAAATAATAATTTTTGTTGGGAATAATTAAAATTGTGATTTAAAAAAAAAAAAAAAATTTTACCACATAATAAAAACTATTATATTTTAAAAATCAACTTCATTAAAAGTTTTTAGTATTATCAAAGTTCTTAAATTTTTGACTTGATACACTAAACTACTTAAAGCACGCAATATTTTGTCAAAAAACTAATTTTTACAAACTTGTAGGTATATCATCAGATGGTTTTGAAATTGGTTCTACAAAGTCTTTGATTTGGCGACGAGCTAAACGTAAATACTGTTGTTGTCTGTAATATATTTGAATTACACCCTTAATCAGTATGAAAGTTGCACCACCCTGCAAATGAAAAATTTAAAATGCATTTTAATGATTAAAACTCTGCTCTATCAAAATATAACAAATAAAGAATCAAAATACTCACTAAAATGACTCTTTTAAGAGGTGATTCCACCTTTGGGAATAAATAATTCCCGAATGCTGTTGCGAAAGTTGGAAGAGTGAAAGCACCACACAAAACTCGAGTAGAGCTATTTAAATCATTTTGTGACGTATCTTCTGGTTGTCTTAATGGTCTATTTTCTGAATCATATTCACCGAAAAACTTTCTCAAAATCCAACAACTTTGAGAATTTTTTCTCCACAAATTTAAAATATAATCTTCCCACCTAATCATTTTTGCTAGAATCAATCCGAATGGGATAACAGGAAGCCCAACTAGCAGAAATAAAGGATCTGCTTTCTCTAGCATCTCAAAGCCTTGCTTATGACCCATAACTTGCATAACTGATATTGCACCAAAGGTTACTGCAGACCAATATAATGAACCAATTACACCTCCCGCAGCTACAACATTAGATAGTTTATTAATCATTTTGTCACCACTATCTATAAGAAGAAGAAGTGGTCCTAAAGCTGGATAGTCTATTGTATATTCAGTATTGCATTGAGGACAAAAAACACGAACAGTGGGGTTTCCGCGTTGTTTTTCATCAAACCATCGCTGGAGGCATGAATCATGAACCCATTTTGTTGTTCCACGACACCTACATGGTCGACTCCACAAAGCACTTGTATCATCATCTTCTGTTCCAAAACAAACCCAACATGTTCGCCTTGAAAATAATTACAAGAATTTATAAAAATCATTTAGCCATTTATTTTCATAAAATTTTTATTATCAAAAAATAAAAAAAAAAAGTTTTCAAAGGAATTTCTTTACAAAAGAACTTAAAATAATTGAGTTTTAAAAAGTGCTTCAAGACAGTTATTAAATTCTTAATTTTTAATATTTTATTTAAACAAACTGATTTATAACAAAAATGATTTTGAAACTTTCTTACAATAAAGATTATAAAAAGATCATTAAACCAGCAAGAGATGATAGAAAGTCTCAATGTTATGTTAAACTAGGAGCGGATGATGAAAAGTCTTAAAAATTTTATTTAGTATCAGTAAGTTCAAGTTGCATTACTTTAAGTTGTTTAATAAAAATAGCTCACTTAAGCAGTAACTATGGTAGCAGTTTTAGAAAAGAAAGAGATGTAAGCTCACAACAGAGGGTAAAAGAAAGAGATGCATACAACGAAGGGTAAAGTTTGGTAGCTAGAGCAAATCGAGTAGCATAAAATGCAATTGTTTATTTGCAAAAACAAATATGCGAAGCTTACAAAATGATTTTTTTAAAAAGATTGACGCAAATTTTGTTCGGAATACTTTTCCTTATTTTTGTTCCATTCAATTTTGTTTCATTCAAGATTTATTGTCAGGATAGAATTCAGAAAACAAATTTATTTTATATTTTTTAATAAAATAATTAAGTTGCTGATCTCCAGGCTTAGATTGACAAAGCACTGACTTTTGTTAGTAAGCAAGAAAAAAGAAAATTTATTTAGCTGAAATTTTAAGCTTTATAAGTTTAAAAATCTTTTTTTTTTTAAAATGAAATCTTTTAACCTTAAAATAACTTTGCAATCATTTTACATGAGAATCTAAAGCTTTTAACAAAATTCTTTAAAAACTATTCACTTAAGTCTTTGAAGTTTTAGTTTTTGAAATCTTTTTTATTTATGAAGTTGTAAAATTTAAACATTATTCGAGCGCCAAAACTTCTAACTTATGATTAAAGTAATAAACATTTACTCTAAAAGGTGGAGCCCTTTTGAGACTTCCCAACTCTGTTTAAAAATATTTAATAATCTAATTTCAGTCAAAAATTATGAGTATAATAATGAAAACACAAAATCAGAGTTATTAAATGACTGGGGCCCCGCCCCAGGCTAAAAATGAAACTTTTTGCAAACCCAGGGCAAAATTATAGGATTTAGCAGGGGTTGATAGCCGAAGCTAGAAAAAAATTTATAATACTTAATATTTTATAATTTTATGCTTACATTTACTATTTATTAAATATTGACGAACATTTATATACTTTTAAACTTTAAGTTACTTCCAACGAGATTGCAAGCAACCACTATTAAGTTATGAGTTACTTTAAATAGAGAATAAATTCAAATACTAGGAAACATGTAACTGAAGACTTAAAAAGTTAAATATTGCATAAAAAAACAAAAACATGAAGTTGAGTAAGAGTTTTTTTGATGTTTTTTTGATGTTCAAGGAAAAAAACTGGATTAATAAAAGTTTTTATAGCACGAAGGGACAGTAAAAGGTAGCAACTTGTTGAATAAAAAGCCAAGCAAGAATAAATTTTGGTTTATTGTTATATAGATGACAGCTCGTTTAACCATTGACCATGATTGTATTTGTTGAAAAAAAAAAAGAAATGCAACCTTACAACAATGGGAGAGTGCCTCAAGCTTGGCAGATAAAGCAGGTCTAATAAAATTTACAATGTGCTTTTAGACTTTGTCTGAGAGTAAGAGGGTTGTTATTCATCAATATAGGAATGCCAACAATGTTGCAATATCTTTTTGCAGTAAATAAATGACTTTTGTTTTCTAACAAAAATTGTGAATTTTAAGTCCAGAATTTAAATAAATAAGCCACGGCAAGCCTTAGGCTGTTATTGAAGAGAGATCAGATTTTTAACCATCTGCGTGTTGTAAGCAATTAAAAAACGAAGATTTTTTGTCAAGACAAGAGTATAAAGTTGAGTCGTCAGCAAATAAAGCCATTTTAGATTTTATGAAGATTGTTATTGTAGATAAGAAACAATACATGAGCAAAGATAGAACCTTAAAATTACTTAAAATAAAGAAGAGGGTAGGCCTTTAAGAATAACTTTACTACTGCAGTTAGAAAAAAATAACTTAATAACATCAAATCTTTATATAAAGCAACTAATTACAGAGTGAAGACTTATTGTAGGAGAAGTCAAAGTATTTTCTATAGTTTTGAAAAAGTGGAACCACTTATTTAGTACTTTTCAAAAGTTTAGTAAAAATTGAAGAGAGTTCTGGAGAACACTTTTTTAAGACTACGATGGAAATCTTGTCTGGAGCACAAACTGTAGAAGTGTTCAATTGAGAATTAACTTTAGCATTCGAAGCCAGAGTGATTTGGATGTTTAACAATGGGTTAATCTGTTCAACTGTCAGGAAGAGTATGGCCATTATATTAAAGAGTCAAATTAGAATAAGATTTCTTTGCAAATAACTCGGCTTTATTCTAGTGAGAAGTAAAAAGATCAAACCCATGAATTAGAGATTAAATGTTAGACTAACTTTAGTTAATGACACTTGAAGACTAACCAAAAGTCTCTAGAACCTAACATTTGAGATAAGATACAAGATTTAGTAAAGTGAGAAAGAGCTTAACATTAGACAGGACGTTTTTACATTGGCTTCTTGCAATAATAAAAGGACATTTGTTCTTAAGAGAGATGTTCTTGTAAAAAAGATGAAAAAAATGATTAATGTTTAATAAAGCAACTGCTCAAGATGGTGAAAAATGTGGAGTAGAATGAGGCTTGACTTAAAATTAAAGAGAAGGAATAAAAGCTTCCAAGATGCACATTATGCATACATATTATGGATATATGTTTGCTATTTATTTAGATGTTGGCATACAATATCCTTTCATTGTTATATAAACTTTAGTATTTATATGTAGTATATGCCAAAAGAGAAGATGATCAGATGGATGTGTGGTGTGACTCTAGCAAGACAAAAAAAGGAGGCATATTTTTAGACAGATTAGAAAAAAAATTGTATTGAATAATGTTTCTTAGAAAAGATTAAAGTAATTTAGGTATCAGCATATAGAAGGTAGCAACTTCAGTAGAAAATGGTAGTGGTAGAAATAAGAAAACTTAAAGAGAGTGCCTTACATATTGTATGAATGAGCTTCAATTAAAAAAAAAAAACTCTATATTGTTTTAAATTAGAGAAACAACATAAAAGAGGAAGGCAAAAGCCTGATGATGACGATGATGATGATCTTTTATACTGTTGATGTTGATGAACCTCTTTTATGCTGTTAATGATGATGATCTTGATGACGATGATGATAATAATGATGATTTTGATGATCATGTTGATCATAATGATGTTTATGTATGCATATATATATATATATATATATATATATATATATATATATATATATATATATATATATATATATATATATATATATATATATATATATATATATATATATATATATATATACATATATATATATATATATATACACACAAAATATAACATGAACTTTGAATAAAATAAATATACTTTAGGATGCATAAATGTTTATGTAGCCCTGGTCACAAACTCAGCCCCGGATCGGGTCAAACACCAACCTCGGTCACTTACTAATCAGGGCCATGTGAAACACACAGGCGCAGAATTAAAAAGATACAAAATTAAAAATTCCCCCCCCCCCAAAAAAAAATAATGTCTATTAAACTTTACCACTATATCAGAAAATTAGATATTTAATTTGTTTATAAATGTACTGTTTTTGATGAGTACCTAACTTTTTGGCTACTCAACGTAGTTAAAGAGAGATTTGAAGAAAAATATAGCATTTAGGCTCTTTCGCTTTTAAAAAATGCTGTTCTATTTTGTGCGCGTTTATTTTTTTAAAAAAATTACATAGCATGTTGTTTTATTTTGTTTACAAATATTCGGTAATTTTATTATCTATGAGTTTCAAGTTTAAGCTTAATACTATGGGGCAGAAGTTATACAAAAGCTGAAACGTTTTTGTTTAATAATTAATTTAAACAACTATAAAGAGATTATGGTAGTAAATTACTATGAGTGAAAACTAATGTGAAAACTTCAATTTTAACTTGAAATGTGAAAATTTCACTTTTAACGTTATTATTGTTTCTAAAAAGATAAAATGTGAAAACTTCAATTTTAATGTGAAATATGAAATAATGTGAAAACTTCAATTTTAATGTTATTGCTGTTTACGAAAAGATAAAATAAGAGGTTTTTAGTCATTTATTGAATATTTTAATGCTGTAAACAGTCTTTTTTATGACGCTGCCCCGTCAAGTTTTATGTATTTTAGTGGTAGTTTTGTTTTGCTTGATGCTTTGGTTAAATAAAGATTTATAAAAAATAATAAATTATATAAGAAAAGCTTAAATTCTGCTTTTTAAAAATATATAACAGTAATAGTCAAAAATAAGTGGAAAATACAAAAAACTGAGGTTTAAAAATGTAAACTTTTGTTTTCAAGAAATGGAAATCGCTCGGATCTCTCTTTAACTACGCTGAGTAATTTAGATTACACTCCCATAAAACAATAATGAAGGGTACAGGGAAACTAATGCAATTGTTGAGTTGAATTTGGAAATCCAATTTAAAATATGAATTTGGCTGTTGATGTAAAAATAAATGATTAATGATGATTTAGCAAATCGGCCATAAAATTTGTTCACACTACTATTATAATAAATAGTTATAACAAAATTTTTTGTAATTGCTTACCCAAAAGATGATAACCAATTATTTAAAAATTTTGATTGCAGAGGATCAAAAATTTTGATTGCAGAGGATCAAGAGGATCTTGTTTATTTAGTTAAATCATACAAAGTATTTTGTTCTTAATTTGTTAGTATATTATTTAGTATATTATGTTATTTCTAGTTTAGTGAAAACTGGAAAAATGACTATAGACATATGACTAGAGATGT